AATGTGGAGGAAATAGCATTATAGTCATTGTTTACTTGCTATAAAAGGGATTGTGGATTTAGTTGTCCCAATACAAGTTCAATATACAAGAATACACATTTTGGGAAAGTTAAATTTGAGATTATTTGAAGTGCTTTTTAAGATAAACATTTAAAACATTAAAACCATTCAGTATCTGAGAGAAATAGATCTACTGTTTGAAATGAAGCTCCTTAATTTACAGTTTGATCTTAGCTGCACCCAGTACCACCTTTACTTAATGTTTCTCTCATGTACTTAACATTGCCATTTCTGTCCCCTTATTTGTTCCTTAGAATAGCTTATTCTTTCTGAAATTTCTCTTATAAGGAAAGAAAGTTTATACATAACATTATAATGTATATAGTAAATAGTTCATTATTGATTGAGATGGCAATATGAGAGTTAACAGTACTGTTTTATCCAAATAGCTAATGATCAACTCTTGACTTAACTAAGTCACTTGTCTAGTCTATGAAGGTACAAAAATGTTATTCTTTCAGTTTCTTTTAACTTTGGGAGTGTATAGATATATAAAAATGGGTTGCAGTAGCTTTCTGATTGCACTTCTATAGACTAAGGGAAATCCTTAATGTGATTCCCTATTTTTTTTTTTTAACTATCTTAATCCACTCTCATTATAAAGTATAGCTAGTTTCACAAACAGAATAAAAATTTTCAGCATGAGCTTCAAGTTACTATAAGAAAGGAGAAAATGTAAGGCTGTCTCTAGCCCAGTCAAAATTGAGATGTAATTAATACTACTATTAAATATTACTGTTGTTAACGACCTCAGAGAATAGTGTAGGATTTGAATTTAGGTAATTACAGTATTTTCTGTTTGAGAATAATATTGCTAAGGGATGTAAGAAAATTTATTTGGGTAAAAATACTTCTGATTATTGAGAGTTTTTATTAATGAATATACATTCACTGATCTATATCCAGTGATTAAAGTTGGGTATACATTGTGTGTGTGTGTTTTAAGTAAGCTCTATGTGCAACTTGGAGCTTGAACTCATGACTCCAAGATCAAGAATCGCATGCTCTACCAACTGAACCAGCCAGGTGCCCCTAAAGTTTGGTATATATTTGAGCTTCCTAGCAACCTGAAATAAATTGCCTAAGAGAAACTTTTTCATCTTTTCAGGTACTGGGATCTTAAATTTCCCATGATCTCTTTTTGAGGAGCATTGAGTGAGGTGATCACTATTCTCAAAAGAATTTATAATAAATGAGAATTCTACATGACCCATTCATAATACGTGATATCATTTATCTCTTCTATCTTGAAATATATACTTTTGGCTTCACTGAAACTACACTGACCTCTGTTTTCTTGACATTGGCCACTTGGAGGGCACTTGAGAAATGTAGTTCCATTTACCCGGTGTTGAGTGTCTACTATGACCGCAGAACTCAGTGCGGGGCATCAGAGTTGCAGATTTAATAAAATGTGGTTCCTACCTGAAGGTTTTGAATAGTAATGGACAAGAATGGTGGTGGTATTTTAGACATCAGTGGAGGATGGGTATAAACTATGTAAGACTGGGGAGGAGGGGACAGAAAGAAGACTACAGTAATATTTACAAGGAGAATAATTCTAAACTAACAAGTGGCAGTAAGAATAGGGAAGGGGAGACTTAACTCTGGAGATAATTGGGAGTTGAAATGGAAGGGACATAATGAGGAGAAAGTAGCTAAGATGCCGCCTAAGTTTCTGGTTTGGGGGACCAGGTAAATAAATGTACTTCTATTCTTAAATCGTGATGATGACATATACTGCATTTAAAAATTTTTGTCAGTGACACAACATAATACCATGCCCATATCATGAACCATTGTTGAATAGATTTAAATTTATATGTACATTATATAAGAAAGCCTAAATTATACCTTTTGTTACTTAGTTACTTTTCTTTTCAAGTTGAAATGTTCTTAGCCATGTTTCTAATAAGCAATTACTATGGTGAAGCTTATGGCTAGGACATACTTAAGAGAGAGTGTAACTCATAATTACTGTTTTTGAAAGGGAGGGGGTCATACAAAAATACACAAGGCCTGATTTAGAGTTTTGTTTCATCTTTCATAGCCATTTGTTGTGCAAATGCTAGGTACTGTTTTTAAGAATACAAAGGTAAATAAAATAGCTGTTAGTCTTGAGCTCAGACACTAGTAATGAACAAAGACATACAAATTGATAATTATGATTGTACAGTATGTAAGTGCTATAATAGAAATAGACACAGAAGAGGGAACCTAATGTCTGAAGGTAAGGAGGAGAAATGGGAATAGGGAAAGCTTCCAGAGATGATTCCAAACTGATTTTTTTTTAAAACTATCTTTCACACCTTTTAATTTTGAAACTTTCAACCTACAGAAAAGTATAAAAAAAGAGGACAAGGTGGGGGATGAACAAAGTGGGTGAGGGGTCAAAGGTGCAGACTTCCAGTTATAAAATAAATAAGTCATAGGATGTAATGTTTAGCATGGTGCCTACAGTTAATAATACTGTATTGCATATTTAAAAGTTTATAAGAGAGTAGAGCTTAAAAGTCCTTATCACAAGATAAGATTTTGTAACTATGTATGGAGATACATGTATACTAAACTTATCATGGTTATCATTTTGCAACAAAATGTACAATTATCGAATCATTATATTGCATACCTCAAACTGCTATAATATGCCAGTTGTGCTTCAATTAAAAAAAAAAAAAGCAACATGGGGTGCCTGGGTGGCTCAGTTGATTAAGTGTCTGACTTTGGCTCAGGTCATCATCTCACGGTTTGTGAGTTCGAGCCCCGCATCGGGTCTGTGCTGATGGCTCAGTACCTGGAGCCTGCTTCAGATACTGTGTCTCCCTCTGTCTCTCTGCCCCTTCCCTACTTGTGTTCTGTCTCTCTCTCTCTTTCAAAAATAAATAAACATAGAAATTAAAACAACAACAAATACCTGAGTTTTGTCAGTTGCTAACATTTTCTTGTGTTTATTTTTATTATCCCTCATGATTAGATTAAGGGTCAACATTTTTAGTGAGAGTACTGTACTGAATGGGTGATGTTTATTTCTCACTGCATCACATCAAGAGATACATGTCAAGTTGTCACAATTTATTGGTGATGTTAAGTTTCATCATTGGTTAACATTGTGATTACCAGATCTCTCCATTTTCCTCTCGTAAGAAGTATGTAATCTATCCTGTAGTCCCAACTGTTTTTTACTTAACAGTTTTAGTATCCATTGTTGACCCTTGCCTAAATTGTGCTGAGGGTTGCAAAATGGTGATTTTCTAATTCTGTTATTCTTTCTTCATTTATACACCTGAGAATTGTAAAGAGGATCTCCTCCCCAGTGTCCATCTCCCAACATATTGCTATGAATGCAAGTATTTTTAAATTTAATTCAGTGTGTCATTCTTTGTGATTATCAAGTTATTCCAGATTTGGCCAGTGGAAACACCTTTAAGCCAGTTTTTGCACCTTTTGACATGTTTCTAGGCATTATAAAAAGGAATCTCATACTTACCTATTAATTGCCTTATTCCAGATCTGAGATCAGTCCTTTTAATGGGCAATGGTATTTTAACTAATTAAGGTGTTTTAACTAAGTACAAGTCAGTGCGAGTGGTAGGTTTGAAAGATGGCAAAAAGACGAAGAGATGAGGAACAGCATGTTTGATGAATAGAAATTTTAAGCAATTTCAAAACATGAAGTAAAGTTAGGGCTGAATAAAAATGAAGAGCTTGTGGATTGTTCTTCACTGTTAGTTTCACATTGAGGAAATGTGTGTGAGTGAGTACTCAAGCCATATGACTAACACGAGTGAATTGTCCAGTGGTTTTAAATTTAGATAATTTAAAAAATTAGATAATTAAAAATACATATTTTAAATCAAATATATAAAATCGTAATTTTTTGTGATAAAAATATAAAAACCTAACCTAAAGCTAAATATAAAAACAAACCTAAAGCTATGTCAAGATTATAGTAGGTGGTCCATCTTAAGTAAGAAAGCAGAGTATGCATAAACTCTCTTGCTTCTGGGATGGTTTGATGTCATTAAAAAAAAAAGAATATATAATGATATTATTACCCTGGAGACTAGATTTTTATCAGGACCAAGAGAGTAGAAGGAAGAAGACCTGATAGAAGAATATTGCCATTGTATAGGTAAGAAATGATAATGGGAAGGTCTGAAGTAATAGGGAAGGAGATGTTAGTTTACATACATGTTTTCTATGTTTTCTGAGTATACTAAATAAAAGCTAAAATCTAATCCATCCCCCTGTAACCAGAAGGGAAGGAAGAAAAAAGGAAATTGAGAAAAACTAAAAGCTACAGCATTACTCTTTGAGCATATTTATACTTGTGCTTCCTTTAAAAATAAAGATTTTATATTAATAGTAGGCAAATGTTAATGATACTTACATGTTAGTGATACTTAACAATTTCTTTTACTTTTCATTTATGTATGAGTTATCCTTTTTTTATGTTTAGCAGTTTTGAATTCCAGGCTGGTATCTTCTTGCTACTCAACTTGCTTTAGCAGTGTTGGTGCTGTTTTGAAAGATTATAAAATAGACCTTATAAAAATCAGCCCAAGGAAAAATCAGGAAAGTAAACATCCTCCTGAAATTATATTAAATTGTCATGGCAAATAGAATGTATTGTATTAACTTCTGTTTTAGATTATCAGCCAATATAAGAATTGAGAACAAGACAGTAAGTATAAATTGAGATTTAAAGAGGAAGATTACCATTATTGTATAAATATAAATATTTATTTTCTATTTATATATATTATATATTATTTATATATTTATATATTTTTTATATTTATATATTTATATTTAGATGTTTTTATAAATATTAGATGTTTTGGATTGTGAGAGTCTTCAGTGGACAACTTTCTGAAGTTTTTGTATTTATGGAAATAACATATGAGAAGTATTTTGACAGTGTCTGTTTCTGTTTTTAGACTGGGCTGGTTTGGATGAGGATGAAGATGCACATGTCTGGGAGGATAATTGGGATGATGACAATGTAGAGGATGACTTCTCCAATCAGTTACGGTAAGTTTTAAGCCAGTTTTTACATAGCTTAGTATTAATTATAAGGACGGAATATTTAGCTTACATATGATAGCTGACATCTTTAAAAAAAGATAATCTTTGAAATATGTTTTTGAATTATGAAAAGGAAAACCTATTACCTTCATCTCCTATGTTTCTAAACATGAATACTTTGTGTAATTGTGCAGAATTTTTATTCTAGTTGCTTTACAAAGGTAGTTAAATAGAAGCATATTTGCTATTTTTAATTTCTGTAGGTTTAATTCTGTCAACGTTAATATTCCACCAATATTGAATAACTCAGCAGAAATTAGAATCACAGTGTTAGGACCTAATAGATTGGTAATTCTCAAACTGGAGTGGAGATTGGGGTGATATGAGTGTACTTTTTCATATTCATGTACAAATTTACCTAATATGATTGATTGAAGTAAAATTCATATATCATTAATCATTTTAAAGTGTACATTTCAGTGGCATTTTGCATATTCACAGTGTTGTACAGCCATCATCTGTGTGTAATTCTGAAGCATTTCCATCACCCCAAAAGAAAACATCATACCTATTTTAAGTTTGTTGATTTATTTTGAGACACAGAGAGAGAGAGAGAGAGAGCAGGCATGCACATGAACAGGGGAGGGACAGAGAGAGAGAGAGAATCCCAAGCAGGCTCAACATGAGGCTCAGTCCCGTGAACCGTGAGATCATGACCTGAGATGAAATCAAGAGTCATGCTCAACCGACTAAGCCACTCAGGTGCCCTGAAACACCATACTTATTAAACAATCGCTTTGTGTTCCTCTCTTCCCCCAGCTCCTGGTGACTGCTGATTTGTTTTCTGCCTATAGATGTGTCTATTTTAGATACGTCATAAAAATGGAATCATGTAATATGTGATCTTGTGTGTCTAACTTCTTAGAGTTAGCATAATATTCTCACATTTCATCCATGCTGTAGCATGTATCAGTACTTCGTTCCTTTTAATGGCTAAATAATGTTCCATTGTATGGATATGCCATAGTTTGTTTATCCATTCATCAGTTGATGGACATTTGGGTTTCCAACTTTTGACTACTGTAAGTTGCTACTGTGAGCATTCATGTACAGGTTTTTGTTTGAATACCTATTTTCAGTTTTTGGGATGTAATCCTAGAAGTGGAATCTCTGGGTCATATAATTCTGTTTAACTTTTTGAGGACCTGCCAAACTGTTTTCCACTGCAGCTGCACAATTTTACATTATTACCAGCAGTGTAGAAAGGTTCTAAATTGTCCATGCCCTCATTGAAACTTTTTTATCTTTTTTATTATAGCTATCCTAGTGGGTGTGGACTGGCTTTATCTTGTAGTTTTGATTTGCATTTCCCTAATAACTAATGATGAGCCTTTTTCCATATATTTGTTGACAATTTGTATATCTTCTTTGGAGAAATAATCTGTTCAAGTCCTTTGCCCGTTTTTAAGTTGGGTTGTCTTTTTGTTGTTGAGTTGTCAGAGTTCTTTATATATTCTGAGGACTAAGCCCTTATCAGACATATTACTTACAGATACTTTCTCCTATTTGTCTTTTGGGTTTCCTCATCATGTTCTTTGCACAAAAGTTTTTAATTATTTTGTTTGTTTGGTTTCTTAGCATTTATTTATTATTGAGAGACAGAGACAAAAAATGAGCAGGGGAGGGGCAGAGAGAGAGAGAGAGAGAGAGAGAGAGAGAGAGAGAGAGAGAAAGAGAGAGAGAATCTGAAGCAGGCTCCAGGACTCAAACTCACAAACCATGAGATCATGACCTGAGCCGAAGTTGGGTGCTTAACCTACTGAGCCACCCAGGTGCCCCCAAAAGTTTTTAATTCTAATGAAGTCCAGTTTATCTACTTTTTATGAATTTATTGCCAAATTCAAGGAAAATGTATCCCTATGTTTTCTTCTAACAGTTTTAGAATTTTAGATCTTACATTTAGGTTTAAGATCCATTTTGAATTAATTTTTGTAGATGGCTTGAAATAAGGGTCCAACTTAATTCTTTTGCGTGTGAATATCCAGTAATAAATACCAGTTCCATTTGTTGTAGAGACCATTCTTTCCTCCCTAATTTTATTCTGATTCAACCCATATGTATCTGTCTTGGCCACAAAGTTATCTAAGTGAGCTGTCACATACTTTGCTCAAATCAATGTCTTGCGGTTCTGCAGTCTTCTAATTTTCTAGTCTACTATATTTGTTCAAAAAGAAAGATGATTTATAATAAATTAAATTTTTAGTAATGATGCAGTACCTTTTGTTCTATACTGCCTTTTTTATGGCCTCAAAAACCCTACATTCTGAAGATGTTTTAGTATTTTGCTGGAGACTAAATAACAATTGTATCTATCACCTTTCTCCTCTTTTTGGAAATAGCACAATTTACCTTTCACTGTTAGTCTGATACTTTTACAGTTCCTCATGATTTCTCAAAATGGCTGACTGTTTTTTTGACTATATCTTTTTGTTTTTTCAGTACCCTGAGATGTAATTATGCAGAGCCTAGAAATTTTAAACTACTTTAATGCAGTTTAGAGTTATCTCACCTGTCTTAGTTTTCAATTTTGTGTTAATGATGTTTTTCCTGTTGCAGTTTTATGAGCAAGGTAGGAACAATAGCTGTTGAACAATAATTCTGCTTTTTCTCTAAATCTGTTAATATTGCATCTATTCCAAGCATTGGATGGATCTGTCCTCATTCTTGTTTATTCATGTATGGATTTCAAGGCACTTTTTGTTCTTTGTATAGCTCTTGATCCATTCTGCGATTAAATTCTGTGTGTACAAATTCTTGCCACTTTTCTATTTGCATTTATTTTTGGTTTATATTGTTTTAAAACTAGGCAATATCAGAGAACACTCTGCTACCTTTAAAAAAAAAAAAGCACATTCCCTCCTTTCTTCCCTCATTAGAATCATATTATGCTGTTAGAATATTTTCAGGCTTCCCACCTCTGTTGATCCCGTTCTGAGTTCTTAGTCATATATCAGTTTTTTTCTTTCCTGTTACCTAGAAATTTTTCAAGTTGAAGCTAAATGAATTTTATTCCTTTGTTATTCACAAAAAAGTCAAATTTCTCCAAAATTTTTTTCTTTTTTGTCTTTCAAAGTCAGACCATAGCACTTTTCTCTTAAAAATTAAATCAAGATATTATTAAATACAATCATCAGGAGACTTTTAGTAGTAAATATATTGGTAATTGGAATTTTTGTCATTACTCCTTCTTGCCTTTTTACTGGTTTGGAAATAGAACATTATTCCTATATTATTTGTGGCTTGTTGTTTGTATAATACACCTTCACAGTGCTCTTATGTTCTCTTGTGTTCTGCCTTTAGGTTTGTGGATTTCCTTAAGAGTATAAATCCTGACACTTTTATTAGTGAATAAGATTTTTCTTTTTATTTTTCTGTTTGAGTCATGAGTTTTTTCTGCATGGGTATTGATACATCACCAGTGCCAAAAAATAAAACTTTCTGTACTGATAAAAATGTTCTATAAGCTGCCCTATCCAATATAAAAGCCACTAGCCACATATGGCTATTGAGCACATGAAATGTAGCACAGCTGGTGAACTGAGTTTTTAATTTAATACATAGCCACATGAGACTACTGTATTGGACATTGGAGCCTCAGATAATATTTTTATCTTTGCTTTAAAAAAATTGTCATGGTTAACAAGTTTCCTGCAGAGATGGTCTTCTCAGTCTTTGTTAAACATATAGATGTTTAATGTAATATTATAAACGATGGTAAAGAAAATATTTTACTGTGTACTGATATTGTATATAGGTCTTAATCCCTTTAACTTTGGAGAGGCAGTACATTTTCTAGAGTCCTTCTGGTTCCCTGGGTTTCAACTCCAGATCTGCCTTTTGTTAGCTGCATGCCTTAGCAAGGATTTAGCTTTCCACTTTCCATGTTTTTCTCTTCAGTCTAATTACAACTAACAAGTAGAAGTAGAGAGAAAAAGGTTACCTGTGTCTCCAAGTAACCAAAAGTCATTATAGAGAAACAAAGGTATCAGAAACACAAAACAGAATTACCTCTTGGAGTTACTTGGAGACATATTTAGTAGAAATAGGCAGGATTATGAGATTTTCCTAATCTTGCATCACATGTTACATGAGAAATACAAGAAGCCAATATCGTTTTTGATTTGCTGTGTCACATATAGCTACCCTCCTATAGCAGAGTCGTTTCTTGGATAATAAGAGGAGTTCTCAAACCTACCAGTGGCTACTTGTCTTGTTCTTGTTTTGTTGAAAAAGGTATGCTGCCGTTTTTGTTTCAAATAGTGTACATTCATAGGAGTGCCTGGGTGACTTGGTTGAGTGTCCAACTTCGACTCGGCTCATGATCTTGCGGTTCATGATTTCGAGCCCCGCATCAGGCTCTGTGCTGACAGCTCAGAACCTGGAGCCTGCTTTAGATTCTGTGTCTCCCCCTTTCTCTGCCCCTCCTCAGCTGTGTTCACTCTGTATCTCTCTCAAAAAAAAAAAAAAAAAAAAAAAAAAAAAAAAAATCAAATAGTGTACATTCGCTATGTGGGTTCTGTGATGATGTTCCAGTTGTGCTGGACTTCTTTCCTCTTTCATCTCCTTGTTGGATTTTTTTACTCAACAGGCTGATGATGCTAGTGTGTTTGTGTTATTTTGTGTTTTGTACTTGGTGGCCTCAACTTACTTTCATTTCATTTTTTTATGTCCTAAGTTCTCGCAAAAACTTTTCATCTTCTCTAAAAATTCAGCTAATAGAGAAACGTATCATAATCTCCTTTGTGTTTGTAAACAGTTTATAAATGTGTAGTCACTATCTCCTGACAGGAAGGCAGGCACAAACCTGGACAGACTTGGTATACTTGTTAATTAAACTGTAAGCTGAATTTCAGGGATGTTTTGTTGTTATTAAGAGAAAGTGAATAATCTACATCGATTCTGTTACAGGCAGCAGAAAACTATTGTTTAAGAAACTTTTAAAGTTATTTCCATTTTCAGTAGAAAACACATAATCTTCAATTTCCTGAAAAGGGGCAGAGGGCAAGGGAAGCATTTTGTGCTAATCTTTTGACTCCTCAACAGGTATTTTACCACCAGCCTCTATACCTGAGCAGAAGACAAAAATGTCTTATATTAGTAATCTCTGGCTTTAATATTATTCATAGACTTTAGATCAGTATTTGTATCGTTAATAACTGTACACTTATACAATGTTTGGTCATATGTTGGCCCTGAAATAATTTTGTTGTGAACTTCTATAAAATTGAATTGTGGCAGAGACATTATTGGTGATATTTGGAGTGGTAGTTTAAGTAGCTGAAATTGATTACAGGGCTAAACTTTTTTGCAGTTGATATTTTCGAAGTGTGACTGAAACTTGTGATTGAATAAATTACTTAAAATTATAAAAAGTATCTTTTTGAAGTATGTATATTTATAATATAAATTTTTGAGGTTTTTATCCACATTTAAAATTTAAAAAGTAAAGTGTTACTTAATATTTTATAACTTATTTGTTATATATATTTTGCCTATATATAGTTAATGCATAAAATTCACATGTACCTTTAAATTTGATTGATAATATTTGTCTTGGTTAGCACAATGGATACATGTCAATATGGGAAGCAGTCTGTTTATTCTTTAGGTGTAAATAACAGTGATACCTATTATGATTATAAAATTCCTAAAAGTTTGGTACCAAATGTCTTATGTTAGCCATATGGCTGATAATTCTTAAAATTTGTTTAAAGATTTATTACAGATAGGATATCTGTATGGTATTTAGAAGATAATTTGGAAAATAGTAGCAAATCTCTCATATTTTTCTATCAATAGACTTATCAGAAAACTAAGGAATTTAAAATACAAGTTTACTAATGGGAAAGCAGAATTTTATTAGCATTATGTTGATTCACATTCAGTTTTCTTAATACAGATTTCTTTTAAGGGAGTGGAGTAAAACTATTTGGTAGTATTTTAAATTGGTGCCTAGGCTTAGCTCATTGTTTTTATTAATTGTATTATTTGTAAAAACTTTGTTTCTTTATCATAAAGAATGTCTAGTGATTTTGTTGTTTTGTGTTTTCTTATAGAGCTGAACTAGAGAAACATGGTTATAAGATGGAGACTTCATAGCATCCAGAAGTATTGAAGCAACCTAAACTTGAACTGTTTATTAAATTCTAGGATGGAGAACCCAGGATGGGACACTTAAAAAAGAAATATGTTTATTTCATTAGCAGCTTGGATTTATTTTTGTTTTTGTAACACACAAAATAAATGTTTTGATCTAATCTTGATTTGGTTCAGAAGTCTTGATCTTTTGCTTCTAGTCATTAATTTTCTCATCCTCTTTATGATTTTCTAAGACTTTATTATAGAGAGACAGTAAATTCATCTGATCCCCAATTGAGTACTTTTATTTAACCACATCAATTTAATGTCGATCTTATTTATAAGGTTACTTCTTTTAAGTTACATTTAACCTTAATCTCATCTGTATTTTGAAAGCTTAGGAAACATTTGCTGACATCTCTAAGGTGACCCTTCAAAACCTATGTTTTAAAAATATTAATCATTTTCAATTGCTGTAATTAGCTCCTGAGCCATTAATAATAGTATTAAAAGTTGATAGAGTATTATTAGTACTTAAAATCAAGCGGCTTGATCACAGTTCTAAGAACAGTGTCCTGTGTCAAAATTGGGGAAGTATGGGGGCACCTGAGTGGCTCAGTCACTTGAGCGTCTGACTTCGGCTGAGGTCATGATCTCACAGTTCGTGAGTTTGAGCCCCACGTTGGGCTCTGTGCTGACAGCTCAGAGCCAGGTGCCTGCTTCAGATTCTGTGTCTCTCTCTCTGCCCCATCCCCACTCATGCTCTGTCTCTCTGTCTTAAAAATAAATAAAACATTAAAACAATTTTTTTTAAAAATTGGGGAAGTAGGATCAAGATACTTTGTTAACAGGCATATTCTCAGGTACTACATAGTAGATCCATTGAATGTAATTAAGTTTCTGCAAGATGATTGTTGTTGCCACATCTACTTTTGTGAGTGAGAGATACAATTTAGTTGGTAAAAGATTCTGTTAAGACTTAGAATGAAGGTGGGGCGCCTCGGTGGCGCAGTCGGTTAAGCGTCTGACTTCAGCCAGGTCACGATCTCGCGGTCCGTGAGTTCGAGCCCCGCGTCAGGCTCTGGGCTGATGGCTCAGAGCCTGGAGCCTGTTTCCGATTCTGTGTCTCCCTCTCTCTCTGCCCCTCCCCTGTTCATGCTCTGTCTCTCTCTGTCCCAAAAATAAATAAACGTTGAAAAAAAAATTAAAAAAAAAAAAAAGACTTAGAATGAAGCTAATGTACAATTTTTATTAGTAATATTTTCAAACTCGTATGTGTTACTTATTTAGAAGGAGAATTTTCAGAACTGTTGAGTAATTTAAAGTGTAAAATTTCTGTAACCTGATGTAGTATTGACACCAAAATAGAGTTGGGTTCCTGAAATATGCCTCAAGATGATTTTGAACCTAAGTAAGTTTTCTTCTCCTAAGACAAGCATAATTCTGCCTTGCCTACCTTACAGGTGGTCAGATAAAGAGTAAAAAGAACTTTGGAAAGTATAAAGGCATCTTATATTTTTGTAATCCTGTAGTGTAGAACAGGAAATCATGCTATTTTTGAGGCATGTGCATGAATACTTCAATGTGTATATTCTCAGTACTCTAGTAGGTGACTATCTTTAGACCGTATATCAGTGGTCACCTTGACAGTGTCAGATAATTACCCCGAGGGATGACCACCTCATGACTTTAAATTGGTGCAAGGTATGATTTTGAAAACTTACAGGAATTGGGGAGAGGCTTTAATGGGTTATCACTAGTTATGTAGTGTTTTGTCCTTAATGAAATTTCAAAATTCAGGCGTTTTCTTCTGTTAAGGATTGAGTGCCTGGAAATTGGTGTTTGGCATCAGGATGATGAAGCCATCAATGCAAAAAGTGAGACTAGTCAAGCAGCTGAAGAAAATTGTTTTTATGGGATTTTACAGTTAATAGACTTCTTGAACTTTTGGACTTCACAGTAGTCACAATAGCCCTGCCAAAGCAGGCAGGAAGGGCCTGTCTATTGTAAACATTCTGTCAAATAGAAAACAGCCTCAGAGAAAATAAGGAAGTGAATAGGTGTCAGATAAATACGAGAATCCAGGGTTTTCATTTTTCCTTCCTCATGTTCCATAATCACTTAATTCCATTTGAGATAGTTTTGAATTCAAATTGTAGATGTAATAATGGTCAGCACTTTTCATCAGGCCTTGGATCAGAATTGTTGCCATTGGATGCCATGTCTCTTTAGCCTATTTCCACTAAATGTTTAAGAGAACGATGATAGTGAGCCAACAACTGTCTTTTGAAAGACTGTAAGGTGTTAATAATGCCTTTTTATGAAATACCGTGATCTGCCCTGTACCTTTTGGCAGAGAGCCAAAATTTGCACTATTCTCTGGCTACCCACACATATTGTGCTGGGGAGTTAGACTTGAGTTGTCTAGCTGCCTTAGTGACTCTGGTTGTATTCCACCTCTAAATCTTGGCATGCATCTAGATTCTGTCCTGCATCTACTTCTTGCTCTATCCGTACTACAATCTCTTTAGTAATTTCATTCAGTCTCAGTTGCATAAAAAAAAAAAACAAAAAACAAAAAAAACAAACTCTGTATGTGTGATTTCATTCTCTATTTTCAGTCTTGCCCTCTCCTTGAAATTGCAAACTTTTATATCCACTAACAACTTGATCACCTCCCCAGTATCCAATGGATATCTTAAAGTTCAGTGAGTGAAAACAAAGACTTATTCTCAAACGTGATCTTTCCTCCAGTCTCTCCCATCTCAGTAAATACCCCACCTCCTTCCCAGTTGCTGAATCCAACACTATAAGAACTGCTCTTGAATCTTCTTAGTATTTAATTTATTGGCAAGCCTTGTCAACTCCACCTTCAAAGCATATCCCATGTCGTTGATATCACTGCTTGTTGTTTACCCAGCATCTGTTCCCCCCTTCCTCTTTTCTAACAAATAATCATTTTTTCCCTTAAGTATCCATCCTCTTTTCACATAAGCCATGTGACTCAAGGCAAGTCAACCCCATTCCCAGTTAGGGAGGGCTCTGCTTGATCTTTAGTCAGTTTTAACTCCATCTCTCATACAAATGAATGGATGAGGGATGGGTAGGCTTAAAGAAATAAGGGTCAATGAACAGGGCTAGGGGCATCTGGCAGGGACAAATCCTGGCTTTTGAAATAGCCACATAAAGTAAGCATCTCCCTCTAGGTATAAATAAGGAGCATATAGTCTCAATTGTTAGTAGCAGTCATCTAACAACTATTCCACTCTAAGGCTTAAGATGATTAGAAAGTCTGGAAGAATACACTTCTTTGATAATATTGAGGCTGCTCTGGCCCTAAGCTTCCTGTAAAATAAGCATACAATTGTCCGTATGTCAGAAATCTTAAGTTGGGTATTTGGTTACTTGTATCCAGAAACAACTGATAAATTCAGAATCTATCTACTACAACTTACTAGCATCTTAATCTAAACCATTGCCATCATGCACTAGGATTGACTGCAGTGGTCACCTAACTAGTTTCCTACTTTTATTTTTTTCTACCCTACAGTTTTTTTTCTGTAAAAAACAGGGATCTTGTTAAAGTTTAGGTCACGTCACCCCTTTCTTGAAATGCTGCTCTCGGGTGCTCCTTAAGGCAGCCTAAAACTGCTATTTATAAAGCCCAGTATGATTGGCTTCTGCCTATTTCAGGTACATCACTTGGTTTTCAGTAATGTCTTATTTTGGTGACTTCTGAAGAGTAAATTAAAGCTAAATCACTAAGCAGAAAGCATTATACTCAAATGCTTGAACACACCAGTGGTCTTTCCACAGGTTGGTCCCTGGAATGCTTGCCCTCATCTCCTCACGGGTCTGGACTTCAGAAGGATTGGCAGAGCCAGTATAGACCAGGAAATAGAGTAGAGACTGTTTTTGTTTGTTTGTTTTTTTAAAGCAAACAAAAAAACAAAAACCAAGGAGGACTTCTGCCTTCTTGGTTATAAGGCACAAATCCGTGTAATAAGTCATGTCATCTCATTGGTTGTACCTGGACAATTCAAACCTTGTATCCTGCCAGAAGAGGTCAGTAGGGTCACCAGTGATTGTGAAATACACTTTTTTTGTTGTTGCCTGCAGTGAATGTCTTGCAAAAAAATCTTCATAACTCTTGATTTGACCAAAATATGACACCATTGTTCAATAGCTAGTCAATAAACCAATCACATGAATCTTGTTTGTATTTTCAAGAGTAATCCTTAAGGTAAAATGATTTGCTTTTGTATACATTAGTATAAATAAGTAAAGATAAATTAGGATGTTTGAACTTTGCACATCTCATACTCAAAGACTCATGGTATTGTATGTATAGAAACGTGTGGTCCAAGTTAATAGAATAGGTCTTCATGATTTTGACGGTAATATCTCCAAGTAGAGGAATGGACAGATTTTATGAGAAGAGCAATAGCTTCTTTTTGCTAGGGCTAAGAAGGTCACTATCATTAACCACAAAGTTGACAATTTGTGTTTATGTCATTTAATATTTTTCAGTAATTTCCCCTTTGGTGATTAAGAACAGAGCATATAGATACACTAAATTTGGCTTTGGAGACATGTATCTTTCCTCTGAAGCAGGACTGCAGGAAAAAAAATCTTACAAAGGTGTCTTGCTATAATGTGTAAAAATTATCAGCTAAGTTTTAAGTGCTATTGATTTATATATGAGAGGTTTCTTTATAGTTTCAGTTTAGTTTGTTAAATAAGCTTAGTAAAACTTTTGGTGGCTAAGTTTTCACTGATAAAATAGTCTCAGTCTATATATTACTAATTGACAGTAGCATAGGGGATTAACTGCTGTTAGATTTTATTTTGTTTTTCAAGTTAAAATTGTTGATAGACTAAAAATTGTCTCTTTTTTTAAAGCCATCGAAAGAGAGCTTATGTACTTTTCCATGTAAAGTTTATTCCTTAATTTTTCTTGTCTGAATGAAATTGGTAATCTCAAGGTACAGAAAAGTCAAAATATTTGGGAATTTGATGAGTAATGTCTAATAGTATTCCTAGGGAGCTTGTGGATGAATGTGCAAAGATGGGGTCCACACATCCCTCTTTGTTTCATTTGAAGCTTTTTGACCTTTATTTGTGTTAGAAATTGGGATTCAATGTAAGATTTCATTTGAAAA